CGTCGACTTACGTTTTCGTTTCCTTACGACGTCGTAGTTTAGTTACGTAAAACTTTAAAGTTTTAAGTTTTACTTTCTTCGTTAGTGTCTCTCGTCTTCTTCTCTCTCTCTCTCTCTCTCTCTCTCTCTCTCTCTCTCTCTATTGCTCATATATTAGGGCAGAATGTTATTGGTAAGCGTGGGATTCAAATAGTTGGCCCAATGAAAGAGGTCTAACTTCAAACTTTGCTTGCATTGGATAAAGGGTTACTTAAATAAACCACAGTGGTGATTAAACTAAAGTGAGGAGCACAGTTGGGAATGGGACTTTGACCCAAAAACATAAAATAAGCTAATTAAATGAACAAATCAAATTAGAAAGCATGGTTGGGAAGTGAGATTTTATGGGTATGAAGCATAGGAATTTCCACTGTTTCCTTGGAAAACGGTTTGGTTGAATTTCTCACATTCGTATTAATGATCTTGGTTTTAGATTTGCACAACCGGACCTTCCAATTTGTATTCAATCAAAACTTCTGGTTCCTATGCCCCAATTTTGGCCTCACTATTTATATACTTGTTTATTCAATTTTCTTTAGACCAGTGATTAAAATATGGATCGGTGACCCGGATTGAGCACCCCAAAAACCACCATGGATTGGTGAATTGACAGTCCGGATCGTTATTTTATTGTGCAAAAAAAACAGTGAACCCTTGAAAAAAAATGTGAAAAAATAGTGAACAGGCCAAAAACAATTCGAATCAAATTATCATTTTAGTAGGAGAATCATTGTTTTATTGTGCAAGACTATTGGTTCCTTTCTAGACTCGGCCTTTTTCCTCTATACACGTAGAATTAAAATGGGTGCCGATTCCTAGGTTGAACTAGACAATTTCATGCCGACCTAGAGTTTTTTAAATCACTGCTGTATAACCATTTTCAAAGCTGTAATAACTAATAAGAAGCCCGCATACATTAAAAATTAAAAATAGTTTTAGATTTTGGGAAATTTATAAAATATATCTCATTTTTCAACGATGTAATACCTTTCCTTTTTTCAAATGTGCCATGTCGCGATATGTATTTTGATGGGTACCCTTTTGGAATCAATTCAAAAGTAGTTGGGTTTTTTTTGTGTATTTATATAATTTATTTTCTTTAAATTTTAATTAATTTGAACCTATGTGCAAGTTTTAGTGTTTCAATGAGAGGTGAATGTAGTTCAAGAGCCCCAGTCTCTGTCTGATATGGGATTTAGGGTTTAGGGTTGTAAACAGGTTGGATCCCAAACTAGAAGTTCTGACCCAGACTTGACCGATTGCATTATTTTGGGTCGGGGTTATATAGGATATGTATGTTATACATGATAAACACAAAGTAGGGCTAGATCTCTTAAACTTGATTCGACCAGATGAACACTTTCAGGTCCATACTTTCGACCAAACCTCTCCCAGCAGGTTTAAAAAATAGAGATCCAAATTCAACTAGTTTGAGTCGACCTACTTGATTGCCATGCCTATGTTGCCCATGGAGCCACTAAGCTAGAGTGACCTGACTTGACTGTGTCTTAGTTAGGTCCAAACCAACCGTGGGTCAGCCCTAGGTCTAGACACAAAAAAAAAAACATAACATATACTAACATCGAGTTGGGTTGCGGTTGGATTGACCTTGCCATAGAACTAGGGCTGGTAATGGGCTGGGCCTAGGTAGGGCCTGCCCTGGCCCTAGCCTAGCCCTGCCCTGCCCCTTAGGGCTGGCCGAGGCCCTGCCCGACCAAATAGGTACAAAATCATCCGAAATCAATCAAAGACCCCCAGTCCTTGAGTGAAATAAGGTTTGATATGGGGTTTAGGGTTATAAACAGGTCGGATCCACAATACAAGGTCTGACCCAGACTTGAACTACTGCATTACTTTGGGTTGGGGTTATATGAGATATGTATGTTACACATTGAATACACAAAGTAGGGCTAGCTCTGGGACTCGATCTAACTTGATTAACACTTTCAGGTCCATACTTCTCGACCAAACCTCACCCACTAGGTTTAAAAAACGGAGATCCAAATTGAACTGGGTTGCGTCAACCTGCTAGGTTGACCTACTTGATTGCCAAGCCTCTATAGCCCATGTGAGCCATTGAGCTAGAGTGACTTGACTCGACTGTGTTCTAGCTGGATCCAAACCAATCATGGATCAACCCTAGGTCTGGACAAAAAAAACGTAGTATACTAACGTTGAGTTGGGTTGCTGTTGGTTCGATCTTGACTTAGAACTAGGGCTAGCAATGGGCTAGGTCTGAGCAGGGCCAGCACTAGCCCTAGCCCAGCCTTGTCCCTCAAGGCTGGCCAAGGCCTGCCAGGGCCAAAGAGGCCCTGATCTTGCGGGAGCCATGCTAGACTAAAAAAAATTTAAAAAATAAAATAAAAAGGATAAAGAAATAACAACCGGGCCGGGCGAGCGAGGCTGACATTGTCTTGGCCCTCGCCTAAGATCAGCCTGGCCCTCCTCTCAAACCATAGTTTGTGGCCAAGGCCTAATTTTTACAACCAGGTTGACTAGACTAGGATCCATTGCCACCTTTATTTGGAACTGACTCGACCGGACGTAACCTAGTAAAATCCAATATAGGCCCAGACCCAGAACTTGCACTTAACCCATGAGGTCTAATTTTTGCATCCAGATTTAGGCCCATATCGGTTCAACCCGTGGGGTAGCAGGATCAACCCTACCCAATTGCCACCAGTAGATCCCCTAGATTGAGCTTCAGACCAAAAACGTAACAAGCAAAACGAAAGGAGGCACGAAATCATCCGAAATCAATCGAAAATTTCGACCGCTAAGGTGCATGGCCATGTGAGAGCAACGTGACACCTTTATCATTGTATCTTAAATCACACGAGTACTATAGCACAAAAGTTGGGCCATCTGAGAACCATATGGACGGCTCAGATTTCAAAAGCGTGGGTTCTGATTATTGGGCAGGATTGATATGAAAATAACACTTAAACTTTATTTAATAATGTTGACAATAACATTTGTTAATTTATTGAATCAGCTTTAAAAAAATAATATATATGGACTTGCTCTAACTTCAGTGAGAGAGACTTGGGTTTTAGTATATACCACTCTTAAAAAAATTGGAGCTTTATTTCAAATACTGTCTTTTGGCCAAAAAAAAAAGAAAAAAAGATGAATGTAATTTTTTTTTTCAACAAATCATAAATAAAATTTGAAAATTTTCTATCTATGTTTAGAACTGAAAATGCATACAATAAAACCATTTATTTTTTATATAAAGATGTCATAAACATTACTGATGCTAATGTGAGATGTAGTGGTTGGGGATACAACATCGATTAGGTAAAAAAAAACAAAAAAATTTAAATGTCATGACACACTTTGATCTTTTAGAATTCACATTTAATGGTGTTATCCAAAAGTAAATGGTCTTCTAGATATAATGGGATAAATAAAAATTTGAGGTGCTAAAATGAATTTTAAGTAAGATTTTACCCAAAGAAGCGAATGAACATTGATTTGTCAAAAACAAAAGAGTAAATGAACCTTGGCTTTAATATATATGCCCTTCCCCAAATTTGGGCCCCTTTTTTCATTTATTATTTTCACCAGCCGAATATTCCTTTCAACCAGAAGAATAAAAAAAAAAAAAGGGCCAAGGCGCGTCCCTAATTTCGTCCGAAATTATCCCGAAATTTAACGAAAGTTTAAACTTCCAATAAAGGGAGGCCAATTGTAAACATTGCTATGCATAAATACCACCAGTATAGGAAAATGGTTTGATAGAGCTGTAGCCCCGACTATTGAAAAGCCTTTACATCAATTATCTCTGTGTGAATATTATGGTTGTAAAAAAAATTCAGATTTTGAGTTTGAAAAATAACATTTATTACGATAAATTATCTAGATTGTTCATTTCACCCTAAAAAGGTAAGTGTTGATAGATCTGCGAGATCAATACTATTTCTTAAGCTTCAATTTTTTTTTTTTTTGGGAAACGGTTGGGTTTCAAATTTTATTGCCATTCTTGAAAATTGATTTCAGATCCATCATAAAAAGTTTCATTGCTTAAAGTGATTTATAAAAGAGGATTTGAGGGGAGGCTTTATTTTGTTTTCATAAAGCCTAGCCTTATAGAAACTTTATCCCTTACAATATTTCCAATTTTTTGCACTCTAAAATCTATCCAGGTGACATGGCGCTCTTTGGAATTCTTACTTACTTTAATCTCTGATTTCAGGGAAATCAAGGTCTTCTTTTCTCCTCTCTCTCTGTCTCTCTAAAAACATTTAAGCGGCAGATAAATATAGCCTCACTCTGAAGGCTCAGACCCATAAGCTCTCGTTCTCTAAAGGCTCAGACCCATAAGCTCTCTCTCTCTCTCTAAAGGTTCAGAGCCATAAGCTCTCTCTCTCTCTCTAAAGGCTCAGAGCCCTGAGCTCTCTCTCTCTCTGTCTGTGAAGAGCAAGGTCAGAAGCATTCTCTCTCTAAAAAAGGCTAAGTAAATATTTTATCCTTGTACTCTTCTTAGTAATAAACAACCTTATTAGAGTTAATATATAGTTTTGCCTTCTGATCCGGAGTCATGGGACACATTGGAAGACTAACATTAATCTCTTTCTCTCTCTCTTCCACAGGAAAATCAGGGTCATCCATAAAGGCATAAAGCTGTTAACAACCAGTCTCTCTCTGTCTAGAATGATTCTCTCTCTAGAATCCAGTGTAAATTGATAATTATAGAACAGGGGAATATGTGCATTTTGATTAATAAGTATTTTATGTCTATTTCTTCTGCAACACCATGATCTCAAGGAGTGATTTGCAGGCAAACAATTAATTAGTTGGTATATATAATATTAATTCTTCCATGCTCATGTGCTGAGAGAATAAGACCAGTCCAGGAAAAAGGAAGCTGCCTTGGCCCTCTATGAAATTCCATTTCAATAAAACCCACCTCATAATTTCTCTCTCTATGCCTCACTGAGTCATTTCCATTTACTTTCTCTCTCTAAAATCCACTATATTTCACCCTCTCTCAAGAAGAAACCCACCTTTCACATAATTCATTATAGCCTCTCTCTCTCTCTCTCTCTCTCTCTCTCTCTCTCTCTTTTCACATAATCCATTTTATTTCTCTTTCTCTACCGATATAATTCTTTCTCTCAAGAACCCACCTCTCAGACAAGCTTCTCTAATGGCTGAAACCAAAAAACCCAAGAAACCAACCTCCAAAAATTGCCACTCTGCAAAAGAAAACCCACCCTTCACTCAAGCTCAAGCTCCTCTGATGGTGGAAAACAAAAAACCCAAGAAACCACCATGCAAAAACCGACACACTTCAACGGAGAAACCACCTTCAGTACAGGGCACCCCCATGGTGGAAACCAGAAAACCAAAAAAACCACTAGCCAAAAGCAACCAAAATTGTACAGAGAAGCCACCTTCATGGACTTCTCTGAGAAACATTCTCACTTGTAAGCAGCTCCAGGCTCCATTAATGGTGGAAAATACAGTGAAAAAACAGAGCAAACGAATGGGTGGGTGCTCTGTTTCTCTCTGCAGTTCAAGGGAGAACACCAGGGTCATGCACAGGCCTGAGACATCTCCTGAGAAATCTTCTTCTTCTTCTTCACTTTCTCTCTCTAAGGTTTCTCTCTCTTCGGGTTCTTCCAGTAAGAGATTGGCTGCTAAAGTCGATGGCTTTAACGCGTCTAATCGATCGATGAAGTCTACTTCTGTGGTGAGTGAAGGGAGTGGAAACGGTGGTTCTTCGTTTAGGGGGATGCATTTGAGGAGGCTTTCTGGTTGTTATGAGTGTCACATGGTGGTTGACCCCATTAATGGAGTTTTCAGGGATCCTTCTCTTAGAAATAGCATATGTGCTTGCCCTGAGTGTGGGGAGATCTTCATGAGAGCTGAGAACCTTGAGCTCCATCAGGCAGTTAAGCATGCTGGTATGGAAGCTCTCTCTCTCTCTCTCTCTCTCTGTAGATGGGTTTCTTTAATCTGTCATGTTTGGAAACTTGAAAAGAATTTGGGACTTCTATGTTAGAGTTCTCTCTCTCTGCACATATGGCTTTTCTGCTTCATTTGTGTGTGGAATCTTACAAGGAATTAGAGGATTTTCTGGATATATTTGGCTTTACCATTGCATTAGGAGTGTCTGGTTTATAAGTTGGAACTTTTTGGTGGTGATTTTGGGAAATTTTGCTTACTTGTTAATGGGGTTTGTAGTTTTCAGGAATTCCTCCCTTTCTATTTTTATTTCTTTTTAGAAAACTTAGGCTTCAGTTGACTTAAACAGAGATAGAGAGCTCATGTATCTACTATCCTTAAAATGTTATCTTTATGGTGGATTCAGTTTATCTAATTTGAGCTCATTTTTATCAGATTTCTCTGGTTGAGAGAGAGTGATTACCTCAGTTTCATATGATTTGTCTGTTTTCTTTTTTCATGGATTTATTTCTCTGGTTTTTTCAGTCTCAGAAATAGGTCCAGAGGATTCAAGCCGAAACATAGTGGAGATCATATTCCAATCAAGCTGGTTAAAGGAGACTCCAGTTTGCAAGATCGATCGTATCCTCAAAGTCCACAATAGCCAGAAAACCATTAATCGATTCGAAGATTACAGAGACACAGTGAAATCGAAGGCCAACAAGCTTCCAAAGAAACATCCAAGATGCATTGCTGATGGTAATGAGCTTCTTAGATTCTTTTGCACCACTTTTTCTTGCTCAATTGGCACAAACGGCTCTTCCTCTCTCTGCAACTCTGTTTGCAATGTATGTAATATCATAAAAAATGGATTCAAAGTTGACAAAAATGAAGGAATTATAACGACAGCGAGTAGTGGAAAGGCCCATGATAGCATGGAAACCGAATTGGGGGCAGGAGAAAGAAGGGCAATGCTGGTTTGTAGAGTGATTGCAGGGAGAGTAAAAAAGAATCAAGAAGCAACTGAGGATGGGTTTTGTGGTGGATTTGATTCAGTCTCTGGCCAAGGAGGCCTATATTCGAGTTTAGGATTTGATTCTGTTGCAGGCCAAGCAGGCTTATATTCAAGTTTAGACGAGCTTTTCGTGTTTAATCCAAGGGCTATACTGCCCTGTTTCGTTGTAATCTATCGGAATTCAGATTGAGAAATGGCCTCTGTTCCATTTCTGTGAATTTCTTTCTAATGGCCTTGTTTCAGTTCCCGCAAGCTTAACTCGCCGTTTGATTCGGGCAAGTTTCTCTGTCTCGGCTTATCAAGCATTTTGTGTTTAACCAAAGTTCTATACTACCACGTTCGATGTAATTTATTTGAATTGGGCTTGAAAAGAACAGCTTTGGTAGTTTCGATTCATACCAGTTTCTGTCTCTGGACTGTCGGAATTGTTTAGTTTTGTAGTAATTTTGGAATGAAAATGCATATCTAAGGACTGATAGTTTCATGCTACAATGTTTATGGGGGCGTGAATCAGGTAGCTCCATCTACGATCTTTACCCATAATGTACCATTTGATTTAATTCAGCCTGAAAATTATCTTTTACTGTTTAGTGGTTATGATAGTCACGAGCACAACTCTCTCTCTCTTTCTCTCTCTGTATTGCTTTTAGTGTGCTTCAAGATATGAATATCGGCACTCTTTAAGAATACATTGAACTCTCTCTAACTGTCACCTTCCCTCCAAGTCTTCCTTTCTATGCATTAAGTTCCGTCTCTTTCTCACAGTTGTCTTTATTAAACAATCTCTCTCTCTCTTCTTTTAGGGCACATTTGATTATGTGAAAATATTTTCTAGAAAATGCTTTCACGTGAAAAACTTTTCTCATGTGGTTAGATGTGATAATATTTTCGCACTAATTAGTTGTTAATTGATATAAAAATATACATTAGGCTAATTGTTGTGAAAGTACTCCCCTATCTAATTATGTAAAGGAAGTTTTTCACAAGAACAAAATGTGCCCTTAGAATAGCATTTGGCTGTTGTCTCTTATTTTCTTCCTCAATGTTTTCTCACTCTTTTAGGTCAAATTAACCGCTTGTCTCTCTTCTCCCCTCCCCCTCCCCCTCCCCCTCCCCCCTTTCTTTACCTTAGGCTTCTGCTAAGTGAGTTATTTTTTCTTGTTATTTGTATTAATCTTTCTTTTGATTTTAAGACACAAATAGTACGGGTTTTTCTCAGCATTTATTTTAGACCCTTTGTGCTTTATTGATCAAGAATGGTGTTTTATGTCATATGCTCTCCTTTGTCTTTTCTCTGTCTCAATCTGTTGTGTGTTCTTGGAGGGACATGGAAAGGATGGGTCCATCACCTTTGTGAAAGTCATTGGAAAACAGGCTCCTACTTGTTTAAGTAGTTTAGGAGTTAGGTTTTTTAAATGTATTAGTGTAGTGTTTTTTTTTAAGTAGTTTAGGAGTTAGGTTTTTTAAATGTATTAGTGTAGTGTTTTTTTTTAAGTAGTTTAGGAGTTAGGTTTTTTAAATGTATTAGTGTAGTGGTATCAGTAAGAATGAAAACCACAACAAAATACCTAGAATAAAATGTAAAGGAAGTTTTTCACAAGAACAAAATGTGCCCTTAGAATAGCATTTGGCTGTTGTCTCTTATTTTCTTCCTCAATGTTTTCTCACTCTTTTAGGTCAAATTAACCGCTTGTCTCTCTTCTCCCCTACCCCTCCCCCTCCCCCTCCCCCCTTTCTTTACCTTAGGTTTCTGCTAAGTGAGCTATTTTTTCTTGTTATTTGCATTAATCTTTCTTTTGATTTTAAGACAGAAATAGTATGGGTTTTTCTCGGCATTTATTTTAGACTCTTTGTACTTTATTGATCAAGAATGGTGTTTTATGTCATATGCTCTCCTTTGTCTTTTTTCTGTCTCAATCTGTTGTGTGTTCTTGGAGGGACATGGAAAGGATGGGTCCATCACCTTTGTGAAAGTCATTGGGGAAAGCAGGCTCCTACTTGTTTTTTTTTAAATAGTTTAGGAGTTAGGTTTTTTAAATGTATTAATATAGTGGTATCAGTAAGAATGAAAACCACACCATAGTACCTAAAGTGATGCTGTGCTACCACGACTCCAACCCCTTTTCCGAGAGAGTTAATAGTTGACCATGACTGAAAGCATCATCTCATATGAAAGAAAATAAAGTCCAGGCTAGCCCATGGGTCCATAAATATTAGGTACTTGACTGCCCTATGTTCATTCCACTTCTGACTAAAGTTTTGTCAGCCTTAATGGACATGGGCCCTAAAATTTAAGGCGTTACCTTACACATAAGGACCCCAAATTGTGAATATCAGAGATGGGTCCCCTAATTTAATGACTAAGTAAGTCCAAAGGCCTAGTACGTGTCCAATGGAACTGAAGTGTGTACCAAATTGTGGGGCTATCATTTTCTTTGGAGGATTCTCCCTGTATTTGGAGGGTACCCATGTCCAAGGTTGGGCTAACTCATCTAGTTTTGAAGGGACATAAAAAAGTGGGATAAGCATAGTTGTATAAAAGTTAAGGGATACCCCATATTTGTAGGGGACAAATTTATAAGGAAGGTATACTATAATCTAAGGATTATTGGAAAAAATATAATTCTTGGATCAAATAGTATGGATTATATAAGGCATCAATCTTAAATAATTACAGTAAGGCGCGTACACATTCAAATCTTGATGAAAATCTATTTCTATCATCATTTATGGAATTTAAAGTTTCAAAATTGTGTAGATCGAGTAGATATGTGAAAACTTGAAAATGAATAGTCTAATATGCATTATTTTAAGACTTGAAATTGTTTTTTCTTTTTCCATATTATTACTTCAATTGTGAAGGTTTTTCAATTTCTTCATTTCTAATGGGTTATTAAGGTTACTTTTACAGTATAAGGTGGTTGTCCTTCATAAACATTTTCTTAGATCAATTTCATCATTTCTAGATTCAGCCAACTCTACTAAAACTCATCCCAGGGGTGAGGCGAGATCGGTGCCCAACTTACCAGGCACCAAAAACCTCCTAAAAGTTATAAAAAAGTACAAAATGCTAATATGTTGGTTAGAAATAAATTTTTAACATGATTTTGATGGTTCTTTAGATTGTTTGGGAATTTATTATTTTATTTTTTAGTTTTTCTTAAACATTCAAGGCATAAAGTAATTTTTCAATAGTCCACCTTTTATAGAGTTTTTGTCGCCTTCTTTAGTTTTCTAATGATTTATGTATGTTAACTCTTTTCATTTTTTTTTTACTTTTTTTTTTTAAAAATACTATTTTTTTTATATGGTTAGAAATAGTGAGAAAAGATATAGTGATTTATGATTTTATTGAGGGTATGAGACTCGATAGAATATAATAACATACCAAGATTCGTATAGCCGATCTCAAATAATTAGAAAAAAACTTTGATGATGATGTCTTTTCTACATTTGATAGGATGTACATGACTTAGGCCAAATTCCTCGCATTTGACCAAAGGGCTAAGTACCACGGCGAAGGCGAGTGCCAATCCATATCGTCCAACTGAAATTTACATGAATTTCTTTAAGGAAAATAGTAACCTCATAATTCATCAAAAATTACAATTTAAGCATTGGAAAACCTTTACATCGATCATCTCGACCTGAATATATTAGTTGCGAAAAAAATTAGGATTCTAAGTTCTAAAAATCATGTATATTGTAAAAAATTATCTAGACCGTCTATTTCATCCTAAAATTAATTGTTCATAGATCTGTAAGATTTGTACAATTTTTTCAATTTCAAAATTTGTTATCGGTGTTGAAAGTGGATTTAGATCTATCATGGATATTTCCGTTGTCGAAGGTGCTTTCCCGATGAGGAATTGAGATCAAGCTTTATTTTGTTTTCATCAAGCCTAGGCCTTATAAAAACTTCATCCTTTGGTTAATCCCCGTACATAGTGCACCACACATCATAACACCAAAATTTCCTTTTTAATTTTGGGAACAAGCCCTAAACTAAAAGGCGCATTTTAACAGTTTTAAAATGGTAGTGGCTTACTTTGCCTATTGTTTGTCCCTTGGAGAGGAAACTAAATTTGAATGGATTTGGCTCCTCTTTTTATTTATTTATTTTTTCATTTACTTCATGCATTTATTTGAATGGATTTGGCTCCTCTCTTTATTTATTTATTTTTTCATTTACTTCATGTATTTATTTGAATGGCTTTGGCTCCTCTCTTTTTTATTTATATATTCACTTATTTTGTGTATTTATTTGTTTTTGGGGTAAAAGCAAGGATATGGAAATATGGCGGGAAGTAACTGAGAGATGGTGGGAAATTTTTGAATTAATTTGTGGACCGACACTGTGTATGATGATGAGGTATGGTCGAGCAGCCACGTGGTAAGGAACCATCCTCCATAATAGTAAAAAGAAGGCCTTCCAAAACCAGGAAAAAACCAAAATTGCATGTATCAATTCCTTCAAATTTCGTTCAGAGACCTCTGAAATTTCTTTAATGATGATACAAAGCCGTTGCACTCACACTTGATATTCAAGATCAAATGTGAGAGAGAGACGCGGTCAGCATGGCCGCACTGAGTGCAGGAGAAATCGGGAGGTTTAAATTCTAATCGCCCGGTTAGATCTGACCGACAGTTTTTAATGTTTTTCATCATTTTGGTAAAGATTTAAATTTTTGTTTGTCATTAACACTTATTTTTACATTTTTTTCATGTTTTAAAAAAATTTCAAAATACCTCTCTACACAAATTGATTTTTTAAAATTCGTTTTTTCATTAATTTTCAACTTCAATCGGATGTGCTTTATTTAATCATCTTTTAAATATGATTTTCATATTTTATTAGAATTGTTTTTAAATATATTTAATTTTTTAACACGTTTTTTAACACTTGGGGCTTATCGGGTCGAACGGACTGGTTTATCAGTTAATATCAAGTAACTGCTTCTGGCTTCATTTCCGGTTAACTGTTACAGTGCAATTTTTCCTACATTGGGCTGACCTGATCAATCCAAACCTAAAAAAATAAGGCCTGTGCTAAAGCCTGTGATCTAAGGGCCAGGCTAGGGCTAATGCCAGCCCAATTCGGACCGATTGGACCTTTTACTTTATTTTATTTTATTTTTAATTCATGTTTTACCGGACTTGTTTTTAGAGAGAAGAAATCATGGAAAAAAAGAATACAGATTTCATAACCAAAAAAAAAACTCCTCGGCAAGGGCGATCATGACCAAGACAAATGAAAGTGAAGTGATGAGGGTTTTGCTTAAATTCTATTTGTCCCGTGTTGGGGGGAGTCCACATGCCTATTTGAGCATTACTCATTGGAGGAGGACCCAATAATTGAGAAAGTGATCACCTCTTACAATTATTATTATCATTATTATTGTATTTATGAATTCTGGAATCACGTTCACTTGTAACATAGAATTGAAGGAAGAGAAAAGGTCCAAAGAACCCTCCATTTGGACATCTCTTATGCGTCTTTGAGAGAGATCTTTAAAAGCAGAGGAGTCAGATTCGCTTCA